CTGGTCAACTTCATCAGACCCAACAACGGCCGTGTTGCTGAAGAACACTGGATCTTGACTCCTCCCCAACATCCATCTCCCCACCAGGCAGTGTGCTCATCCAACAGCTGTCATTGTGGGAGGCAATGCCGCCATCATCATGATTCAGGGAATTTTCTATGCGCGTTTCTTGCCGCTTGAAGGTCCCATCATCGTCGCCCAGTCCCCTTCAGGCAGCATTGTGCCGACGCCGACGACCATTGCCGCCAAGCCACCTCTCATCGACTTTGACGTCCTCCAGGAGTACATCATCCCCCGCAAGGCCTTCTTCAACCGATTTCTCACGGTGCAAGATCCAGAAGGGCGATACTCCGTCCTGGGATTTCCCGTGCTCATTCCCGATGCCAAGTACCAGCGCAATGAGTTCATCTTCAACTTTGGCCTTGTGCTCGACGCCGACGCCGAGCAGGCGCCTTACGAACGCGTCGTGCGCCGCCTCGCCGTGACCTTTGCCGAGATGGAGAAGCAGGACGAGTACCTCAGCCAGCAAGAGGCCGACCGCGACGGGCGCCACCCGGGCCCCGGCCACAGCCACAGCCAGAGCCAGAACCGGCGGCCGATCGAGAGCCTCCTCGAGATCATCCGCGAGGACCTCAACAACTACGGCGAGTGCATGATCCCCGTCGACGACGCCAACACGATCAACATGAAGCTCTTCCCGCACCACCCGCCGCCGCCGCTCGTGCGCGGCTGGCACGTGCCCGTGCCCAAGACCAAGCTCGCCTCCATCGTCGACCCGACCTGGGACCTGACGCTGCAAAAGGTCATTGCCCACATTGACGGCGTCTCGGACGTGCGCCGCATTGCCTGGCAGGCCGACGTCTCGCTCGACCTCGCCACCCTCGCCCTGCGCCACCTCCTCTACTACGACGTCGTCCTGCTGCTCGACCTCTTCTTCTTCGGCTCCTGCTACGCGCCCCGCGCCCCGGGCATCCACGACTTTGTCGCCGACGTCGACGGCATGCTCGACGAGTGCGCCGCCTACGTCTCCGTCGGCGCTCAGCGCGTCGGCCGCTTCCAGCTTGTGCGCCTCATGATGAGCTTCTGCGTCGGGCGCTCCGTCATGGAGTGGCTGCGCGGCCACCAGGAGGCTGGCTTTGACGTCCTGCGCCACGTCGACGTGCGCCGCTTTGTCCAGTTTGCCGTCATCAAGGGGTGCCTGTATCGCGTGCACAAGTACGTCGTCAGCAAGCAGTACCTGGCCGCGCTGGCGACGGGCCAGGCGACGCCCGGAGGTGGTGGTGGTGGTGGCGGCGGCAGTGGGGCGTCGGATCCGCTGCAAAAGTATACCGATGGCTGTCACTCCTTTGACCAGATCATCACGGAGCGCGACCTTGCGGACGGCGAAATCATGGACAAGCTCAAGAGGTTGCCGCTGCCGCAGGGGGATCTGACTGTGTTTTACAGATGATCACGAGGGCGTATGCAGGGCTGGAGGGAAATTTGCCTGGATGGACAGAAGTCATGAGATTCTATATAGTTTGGGACAAGGAGGTACGGTGTTTTACAGGCGTTTTTTTTTCCTCTTCTTGAAAAAAGATGGGTCATATACCTCTGCCAATGCTTCTTTTTATACAACGCCTCGCGGGCGGGGATGACAGCGCCAACCATATTCTTACACGTTCTTTCTTTCTTCCTCACACGCGCCGTCCGCCGTCCTTGGCCTTCAGATCACCATGCACCTTTTGCCTCTCGAGCTTGCTGGGGAACCGAATGTCCGGGTTGTTGGCAACGACCGTCTCCTCCTCCTCGGCGGCGAGCTTCTCCTGCGCCAGGGCAAAGAGCTCCTTCTGCGAGAGCTTCTTGCCCTCGGCCTCGGCGAGCTCGCGCAGCGCGGCAATGGCCATGCGCGTCTTGCCGGTGCCGGGCTCGCCGGGGTACGTCTGGCCCGAGGCCTTCCAGTCGTCGTCCGAGACGACCTCGATGATGCGGACGTTGTGCTTGCCCTTGCGCAGGATGAGGACGCGGTCGTCGACGAGGAACCGCGACACCTCCTCGGGCCGCCACAGCTTGACGGGTGTCCAGTCGAGGTTGCCGGGCGTCAGCGAGCGCATGTCCTTGCCCGGCGCGGCGGCGACGTAGGCGCCCTGCTGGCGGCAGAGGCGGTGGGCGTCGCTGGCCGAGTCGGCGAGGCCCGCGGCGAAAAGGATCTTTGGCCGGGCTCTGCGTCGTCACGAGGGACCGCGGCAGCTTGCATGGTCCATGCGCGGCGCGTTGTTTGAGCGTCACGGGCGCATTGGGGGTGCGCGGCCCGCGGCGCCGGTGCTCGGGGGGCTGCCGTCCCCCGCCCTTGCTGTACATGAAGGGGGGGCTTGTTGCTGCTCGCGGAATGGCCCCCTCGGCGCCGTGCACGAAGCGTGAGGGACCTTCAAAGGCGAGTTTGGTGCTGGGGCGGGCCGGGCTTGGGGCGGGGTCGAAGCACGTTGCTGCTCCATTGAATCTGGGGTGATCCTCGGGGAATGGGCCAGGAAGGTGAAAGAAACTTTGGAGGAGCTGCTCGACCTCGTCGTCGGAACCGCCGCACGAGGTAGCTGTACAGGCTGAAGGCGCTCGTCATGGTTCGTCTCGAGCCAGACGGCGTTGCCGGCGCTCTTGCCGACTTGTGGCAAGGAACACGATGAAGCTCCTCCCCTCCCACGTCTCGGAGCTGCTTGAGGTTGAGGGTTTGGGGCTCCGAGGCGCGGATCGTCTTGACGCCCTCCGATCCCGGTGCGATGTTGCCGAACTGGTCGGATCCGCCGATCTGCATCTGCACGCCGAGCTTGTCGTAGAGGTCCCAAAAGTCCCACCTTGCATCAGGGGGTACATAAACTCGGCGACCGCCATGCCGTCGCCGCTTTCCATTTTCGTCTTGACGCTGAAAGTATAGATTAGCGTCACATCATCTCCAAAGGGGGGGGGGGGGTAGGTAATCGGCGCTGTAGCGGCCAGACTCACGTGTCGCGAGACAGCATCGGCCCCATCCTCAGATATCGGCCGAGCCTCTTCATCACGTCGTACATGGACAGGCTCTGCCACCACGTGTTGTTGTTCACGAGATGCCGTGACATGGACCAGGTCTTCTTGTAGCCATACTTGTGCTTCTCCAGCTCAATGTTGTCCCAGAGCTTCTTCATCTGGTAGTGTATCCTCGTAATGTTGGTGGAGATTTCGCTGTTGGACATGATGGCGCGGGACGTGGTTCGGCCTGTCGGGTCTCCTATCCTCGCTGTCGCGCCGCCCACCAGTGTGACGGCGCGGAAGCCGTGGAGATACATCCAGAAGACAGGCATCATGGGCAGCAGATGGCCGAGGTGGAGGGATGGCGCCGTGGGATCGACGCCGACGTATGCGCCGATGCGCTTGGTGCGCATCAGCTCTTTGATCAGCTCGGGCCGGCTGTCACAGCATGTCAGTAGAGGTCCTCATGCGGCGGGAGGGGTCGGTCGTGGTGGTGGTGGTGGCGCATACCCTGCGACATCCTTGATGAAGCCTCGCTCCTCAAATATTTCCCAGAGGTTCCGCGCCTCGCCGTTCTTGATCGCCTCTGCCTTCTTTGCCCACTCTTGCGCTGCATCCTCCCGCTTTTGCAGCGTCTTGAGGTGAATGTGTCTCGATGGGGATAATGATTGAGGGGCAAGCCGTGTGTTGGTGCATCGTCGCCAGATGCGATGGTGGCATCGGGCCGTCAGAGCCTGCGCCATGATGAATATATGAAAGGTACCCAAAAAAAGGGGACAGGCACCCTGTGACAGATTAAGAGAGCGTGAAGGGTGTGTCGGCGACCGAGAAGAGCATAGTCACACGCTGAATCGCAACGGATCAAGATGCTTGACACCACTGACGGCAACAGCCATCACGAACTGCAGCTCCAAAAATTCAGGGACTCTCGCCTTGGGCTTATCGCGCTGTAGTCCGATAAGACACGCGCTCGCTCCAACTGCCGCCAAGGCACAACGACCAGCAGCAGCAGCAACGAGGCGCCAGATCACGTGCCTCGATCACATTCGCCTGTTCGCACAGTCGGGACGGCGCAGCCAATGGCAGAGCTTCCAATTCAGATCCTCGGCAATCATTCCATCGCTCCGACCCGAGTCCTCTGCATCATCCACTTTCTCAACCTCACGCAAGGCACAGCACGACACGTCCAAGCCGCCCGCCTCAGAACCCCCAGCAACTCGCACCTGCACGGCCGGCAATTCGACTCACGATGGCTTCTTTCATGCGACCCGCTGCGATGCGCCAGGTCGCCACGGCCGCGCGCATGGCCAAGGGCCCCGCCGTCCGCTCCGCCTTTGTCCAGCCCGCCATCAACAACTTCACAAGAGCCACGGCTTTCCACACGACGAGCAAGCGTGATATCCTGCCGCCGCCACCTCGTATGTTTCGAACCCTTCAAATCGATTTTTTTTTCGGAGAGACAATTGCTGACAGGGAGACGCAGAGGTTGTTCTGGGAGGAGGTACGCTATAATCCCTTGGTCGCAGCATCCTGTGAAAACCACGCCGATCGTGAACAGACCTAACCCCTCGCGTGTCCAGTCAACGACCCTGCCCCCGTGCCCGCCCCGAGCCCTTCCCACGGCTCCTACCACTGGACCTTCGAGCGCCTCCTCGCCGCCGGCCTCGTGCCCCTCACCCTGACGCCCTTCGCCGCCGGCTCCCTGAACCCGACCCTCGACGCCATCCTCTGCGCCGGCCTGATCCTGCACTCGCACCTGGGCTTCCAGGCTATCATCGTCGACTACGTCCCCGCCAAGCGCTTCCCCAAGTCCCGAAAGGGCATCTCGTGGGGTCTCAACGCCGCGACGGCCCTCGTCGGCCTAGGCCTGTACGAGTTTGAGACGAACGACGTCGGCATCACCGAGGCTCTCAAGAGGGTGTGGACTGCGTAAAGGGAGAGAGAGAGAGAGAGAGAGAGAGATGCTCGTGTCACGGGTGTTTGGAGGAAGGAATGGAGAGAAAGAAAGCTAGATGTGGATGACTGTACAACCAACAGCATAGGCCAAGAGGACTATTTTTTTTATCGATCATACCCCGTATTCTGACTGGGGTATTTTGACAACGAGATTTGCAAGACCTTTGCTTTGTCGATTGTCGTGTGGGCACTGCATGATGCAGACCGCGGCGTGAATTTCGAGGGTGGTCGCGTCACAAATGGGATGCCCATGGCCTTCGTCATTCTGAAGAATAGGCCTTTCGGATTCGAGATGACCGGAATCGTAAGAGGAGCCTTGGTTGAACGCCTTGAACAAGCTCCAGGCTTGCAACCCATTGGGACAGGCACATGCGTTTTCTACCAATCTGGAAACGTGACTTTTTTTTTAGAAAAAAAATAAATCTATCTACATGGAGAGTACTTCGCTTCATGAGCTGATGCTTTTGTTTCCGCTAATCCTGAGAAGGATCATAGCAAGGGAACTTGGAAGCTGCAGCAGGAGCCATGTCCCTGTGCACCAAGACCGGCGGGCAGTCTGTACTATGTGGCCGGCGTACAGTATGTGTATGGACACATATGTGGGCTTGGAAAACAGTTCGCGGCCTGCAATTATCTGTCTGCAAAATCACCTCATGTCAATTCAAGTCTTTTTGCAGCATTCCTCATTCAGTACTCTATCGTATCCCGTCGATTGATCTGTCCTGCTGCTCATAACTGGGATGCTCTCGATGGATGAGTCAGCACGGACCGCACACTGACGTCGGCCCTCTCAGCTGCGAACCTCGGCTCTTGAGCTGGCTCGACATCGGCCTCCAACCCACCATCTCGCAACCCTCCCCGACAATGCGAGTGCTCGAGCATACACACAAAAGCAGCTTCAACGACGGCTGAAAGCAAAACACCACACACCCCAGCAGATGCCCGCATCGATGACCTCCAAACTTCGCGCAAGCGCAACAGCGCCTCGCCGCCCGCCAACAGGCCCCGCGAAGCCGAAAACGCCGCCCGGCTCGCCGCCCAGCGCGCCGACACCTCGACATCCCGCGCCGCACGCACGCGAGCCCAGCTCGACCGCCTCCCCTTCCCCTTCGCCCGGCTCAACACGGCATGGGACGCCGTATCGTCCCGCGAGGGCACGCGGCCGGCGTTCCGCGTGGGCCAGGTCGACGCCGAGCTGCTCGACGAGGAGCTCGTCGACCTGCTGCGCGACCAGGTCGGCGAGGCGCTCAAGTACTTTGCCGGCGGGCACCTCAAGGACGACTGGTCGGCCGAGATTATGCTGGCGCTGCGGGCCGT